CATTAGTGATTATCTCAATTTTGGCTAAAAGAATTGACAAAATCCTACACACTGTGCCTTTAATCTAAATTCCACTAAATTATTAATTTAAAAGTTATCCAAAACATAAAAAAGGGTCACAAGTTTTGATTTGATGTTAAACCACCAAGTATCACTTCAACAATTTGATGCATTAATCTTTCCTTGGTTGTATTTTTATTTTTTTTTATATAAATCTTATTTTTCTATCATCTACTCCCTTTAGAAGCCACCAGATCATTGCCTCCATCCCTTCCTAACTCTATTCAGTTGCTGCTAACAGACTGRCATAAAAGGTTTCCATGGTGCCTTGTTTAATAAAAGCTAAAATTAATAAACTACACAAAACTTGACAGCCCCTATTTTTCCAGCTTGAACATAAACCCTGTCTGTTTTTTTTTTTTTTTTTTGGTAATAAATAAATCCCGCTGTATCTCCTCTGCCAAACAGGTCTGTTATCAGTGAGCCTCTGCCGCCGGCTGCCTCATCAGCAGAGTAGATGTGATAACGATCTCAGTGGCACTGCGGCTCAGCGAAGGATTAGAGCAGCGGCAGCAGCAACAACAGCTGCAGCCGTGGAAATGCTCCACGCTCACCGAACACAAACAAAACCGAGGGGAAAGGAGACGCTCCCCCTCTACGCTCGGCTTCTTCAGATTCTCTGCTTTTTGATTACTTTTCTCAACGCTGCTGAGCAGAGTAATTGGACTCTCCCTCTGCTCCAGCTGTGCAGCAGTTTGATCTGCTGAGGAGCTACATGTGGAATAATCGAGCCGCCAGTGAGGCGACACGATGAGGCTGGAGTGTTTAATTGGTTAAAGAGACCAGAAAAAAAAAACCTCTTTGATATAAGCTTGTCGTGTGTGTGTGGGGTGTGTGTGTATCTGTGTGAGTGTGTCACTCACCAGCACCTCTTGTCCTCCCACTCTCTCCACACTCAGGTGTTCATCTGAGCCTTTTAACTTTCTAACCTAAAACAAACAAACACAACAAAACAAAACTGAAAAACTTAAATGTTGACATTTTTCTCTTCAGAGCAAAAAATTCACTCAAAGTACAAAAAAATAACAGCAGAACCTGCTTTTCCTGCACAAAGGTAGTCAGCAGAGAGCTGATTGATATGAAATTCAACAAGCAGAACCACAACTAAAAATTTAATTGCGAAAACTATAAGTATTTAGTAAATGTTGTGAAAAAACAGAGTAGGTAAAACCAAAAATTAGCAAAGACAGAGCTAGAAGCTAAAAATGAGAAAAGTACTTAAATGTCCTGATGCATCTCAGTAATCCAGGTAAAAAATCAAAAGGAAAAAAATTGTATAGGTCCTCTGGACGGGTTCTTCTCCAATGAAACGTTTCGTCTCTCCTCCAAGAGACTTCTTCAGTCTGAGAGTTTCAGGCAAAATTCAGGCTTTTAAGCACTGCCTCCATGTGACTGATACTCATTTTTTTTAAAAAAGGAGCTCCGA